TTAGTTTTATTCCCAAATATTTTGAACATTTCCAAAAATAATGTCTTGTGTTATTATAATGATGATTTTTAATTAATTAATTAATCATTGCATTTATATAGCACCTTTCAAGATACCTAAAGCGATTTACAGTTCATTATTCATTCACTCAACACTCAGTGGTGGTAAGCTACTACTGTAGCCTGAGGCTGCCAATCTGCGCCATCGGCCCCTCCGACCACCACAATCACTCACACACCACTTTCATACTAGGCAATGTGGGTGAAGTGTCTTGCCTAAGGACACAACAACAGTTTTTGCAACTGGTGCTCCACTGTGGCACCTGGAATTCTCAGGGGTCTCACATCCAAGTACTAATCAGGCCCGGCCCTGCTGAGCTTCTGAGATATGACAGGATCAGGCTTTGACAAGCCAGTATGGCTGGTATGATAGTAGTCACTAAATACCGTGTTGTGTACTTTACTGAAAACATAGTTTAAAGTTATAGAGTTCAGTTTTGTATTTTTTTGGCCTTTTTTTAATATTTCACATGGGGTTAACAATTACTGCACACAATTTAGCTATTTCAATCCTTACTGTCTAACTTTCTCACGCATGCTAAGCATATTGGATTATTCATTAGAGTTTTTCGTGACAAACCCCCTGGACAACTATTAACTCATTATTGCACACTCAATAGATTTCCTTCATTGAATTAAACAGGAGTGACAGTAGATGGGTGATAGCATTTCCTTCAGGCTGAAGTAAGAGCCTTTTTCTGTCAAATCCCTGACCCGGCTTCATACTTTAGCACCTCTTGATGAAAAACTGTCACCTGCATATTGCTTTTATTAGAAAGCATGCCGTTAGGAATACTCCAGATCGCATTTGCATTAAAAAGTCTCACATTGGAGTCGTCAAAGAGTGAAATAAAAATGGCTTTTGATGATTTCAGTAAAAGATTGTACACAAACTAGAGCTAAAGCAAGGGATTATATTTATTGCAATTTTGCTAGTGCTCAGATTCAATATCAGAATTACCAAGTACTACTTACAAAATACCATAAGTACAGGAAGAGTTTTGTTTTTAAGAAGTACAGTAATGTTAGGTGAATTTAGCTGCATTTAGAAGCTTATTTACATCTGGTCAACTAATAAATATATCAGAAATCAAAGTTGTAAGCTATGAATGCATAATGATAACACAGTGTAAATGTGCTTGGAAAAATGCATAGGGTATAATTATATATAATATAACACATTTTATTTACAGTATATAGTGCCTTTTTGGACCCTCACTTTACAGTGCGTTATTCATTAAATTAACACTCGGTGGTGGTAAATTCCAATTGTAGTCACAGTTGCACAGCTAGGGCAAACTGAAGTGAGGCTGCCAATCTGTGCCATAGGGCCTCCCAAACACCACCAGGGATCTGATGATACAGTATATCTACCTAACCAGGTTAAAACCAAAAAACGCATTTGAACCAGAACAAAATCTGGTCTGAACTAGTATGTACTTTTGTTGAAAGAGGGCAGGGGCGTGGCAGTGGGACCTCAGGTGGACGGGACAAAGGGGTGACTCAGCTGTGAGGAGGGACAGTGTGGACCCTCAAAGTGGAGCAGCTTTCTCTCTCCACCTGACCAGAGGGTTTAGCTTTGCACCAGTGCTCACAAACACACAACCCCTTGAGCCATGTGCATATATTATTCAACAACATTTCATTTACCACCTAAAGACCACGGCAACTCTGCTGCCAACGCTCAAAAAAGTAAGTAATGATTTTGGTTCAATCATCAGTATGGTCTCTAACAGCTGAGCCAGAATCTTTTGATGTGTGATCAGTTGGAGCCACATAAATTATTCAAGCAGCACAAAAACAATGGTCAGCATGTTAAATGGTACAGTATCAATTTACAGTATACATAAATCCCTTTGTATGATGAGAATATTGCCCCAAAATGGTATGATTGGGAAAAAAAATGATATAAAATTGTTCTGAATAATATTTGTGATACAAAACCTGGAGCTAAGCCATATGTCCAAACTACAATGGTAAAACATGAATCACAAAACATAATTAGTCTGCTCCTTTGCTAGTAACAGTAGGAAATGTTTTTTTCTTTGCATAATAAAGCAGCCCTAGCTCTTTTCCCACCTCTTTTTGGCACTCAGAGCACAGTCTAAACTGTCTGGAATAGAAAGATTGGCTGATAATTGATGCAGCAGGTGCAGGGCCATGGTCATTGTTCTGGTTCAATGCGGTAAAGCCTCGATTTACCGCTCCACTGATGTCCACTCACCTATGCTTATGAGTCTGTTCCATAGGGTGACTAGGGCTTTTTTCTTATAGGGCAAGATGTGAAACTTAGTGATCCAGGAGGAGTAGTGCAGTGCCTTTGGCCCTCTGCTTAAGCCTGGAGACCCTGGAGAGCCTCTGTGACAGGTTTACATTTTTGCCCAAAGAAAATCTACCACAGTATTTTTAACATTTTATACTACATACAGAGATATACCATGATAAAGGATAATACTGAAACTACTTTATGCAACTGATACAATGACAATGATACAAGATAATCCCAGTAAACCATTTTTAATAGACAGTATCATTAAGAGCTGCAATAAAATAAATAGCTGAGTGAACCATTAATTAGTCAATGAATTAATTTATTTGACCTTTTACTGTCCAAATGTTGTTGTATTACAACAAAAATCCCCAAAATCCCCACATTTTTGCTAAGAAATTGTACACATGATAAATACTCAGCCCCAAAATATATTGTTCCAGCTTTCTTATTTTGAACGATAAGTCGAAATAGTAATTATCGTGACTTAGACAACTAACCGCTGGGTCTGATCCTTGGCACCAAAAAGATGCAGATGAAAACTGTTAAACTTCAGAGTACAAGTTTGTTTGCTATACTGGGAAATGAACTTTAGTGAAGCTGTTTGCAGAACTGCCTGTTTTAATGACAAAAGCATTTAATTTATTAAGTTAAGCGGTTTATGTTTTCTTCCATTTTGTTCCTCATTGCTTTTCTTATCTGCATAACAATGATAGTTAAAAGTTATAAAAGCTACATGACTGCTAAAAGCCCAATATGTACAACAGCATACTGTGTGTTGCCTTCGTAAGTCATTCTCAGTCACAGTTTGCTACAGTTGAGTTTTTAAGCTCATCATTGAAGTACAGAAAAGGCCTTATCTAATCAGGTGCTGTCATTCTCTTATTAGAATATTAGTGACTCCATTTGTTTGACCCAAAGCCTTGTTTGCACACCTTGCCTCCCTGTTTCCCTGTTGAAAAGTGAAGAAAGCTGACTGGATGACAGCTCTACAGATGAGATAGTGCTGTCTAATCCCTCTCTCAAAGGGCCCAATTGAAATGAGTGGGATAGGGGAGGACAAGAGCAGAGGAAAGGAAGTGCATTGTGTATTGTGTTGCCATAGCGAGGCGTCTTCAGTCTCCTCTCTATAAAGTGACTATGACAGCTGTGGGGATTACGGCACAGTCCATCGTTCATGGCCCAAACAGCAGGGATTAGACTTAATATGCTACCTCATGTCTGTAACTACTCCATTTAATTAATCAATAAAACGAGATTTCAAAACACTGTAGTGTTACGTGAAAAAGAATCCTCCTCTGGAGATGGGCCCAGCTGCCAACTATTCATGCAGTTCAAAGCTCCAGGTTTATTGTAGATGCTGCAGAAGCAGCACACTGGAGCAATATCCTGTAAAGCCACCTCCACTAACTTTTTGGCAAGGCCAGCTTTTCAACTTGGACACTGCAAGTCATCCATATTCAGCTTGGCACGTCAATCCCAAACTGTCAACAATGAAATGACTGAGAAAGTGTCTCAACATTATCTTGCTCTTCCGCATGTTGTGTATTTGAAGGCAGCCAAACCCTTTCTATTAATAAGACTTAACTGTCAAAACTTATTATAATTATAAGTGCAAGCCCCTGCAGGAAGTTAGAAAGAACAAGTTTGATTTTCTTTTTTTGCTAATATTTAAATCTGCTGTTCTCAGTGCCTAAAGAAGTTTTCAAAATGTACAAAATTCTGAGACCCATGTAATTGTACAGTTACATTTGTAGTGACTTGGCAATAAGCCTAAGATCCTTGGACTGACAGCTTGCAATTACACATGTTCATTGGCTTCTCTCAGCTTAAAAAGCTATTACAAGTTAGATAATAAAGTTACTCATCATGCTTTCTTTCCTTCGCCAAAGAGCAAACAACCTAACAAGTTTTTCTCGCAATTTCAAATCTGCCTCTATAGCGTAAAATTACACCTGTCACTGAAAAAGCAAGATGTATTTAGAATATTTCCTGATCCAAGAAGGAAATGCTATTAGTATGGAAAAAGGCGTCTCAATCAAGGTTTAATGAGCTCAACAAGCATGCTCACAGCAATGGCAATCACATCTGTATCTGCCAGATTAGCTTAAGGGCAAGTGCACAGGCCCTGACCAACACGACATGAAGACGACAGCAAAAAGAAACAGCAGTCACACTAATGCGATTTAAGAAAACTGCAGATTAAGACCATTTATCCACGTACTGGGGTACCAGAATTTTTCACCTTGTAAAACAGAAAATTGTATTTCCCCACATACAGTATATTGTTGAAACAGTACTTCCTGCACTCTGTCCACATTTACCGTAATAATAAAATGTCCTATTGATTGCTCTAAAAAAGGAGTTTTATTTCTCTGTTACATTTTGGGGTGACAGCGGCTTGCCTAGGCTAGTCTAAAGCTGCGCTTGAAAAGTTCAAGCTTGAGAATAATAGCCCTGTGCCTTTTCCTACTTTCGCAATTTGAAAATCAGGTACTTCAGCTTAAACATCCTTAATAAGGATGTATGTTTAAATTCTGTATTTAGTACATGTATTTTTTTGTAATACAACCTATCCAACATGTAGTATATTTTTGTTATATTGTGTATACTGGTGTGTAGTGCAGAAACAGTCTGTATACTGCTCTGAGTGTGATGTGCTCCAGTCTAACCTTTGGTCATAGGTGACCTCCTTCCTGCGGCAGTGCACAGTCACCACACGGTGCCCCTCTGTCCTCACGTCCTGGCTCACCATCCACTGTGTGGGGTTGCTGGGCCGAGCCCCCAGAAATGTCACTCCTTCTTTGAGCTTGACTCTGTGGAGACAAAGACAGGTTTATGAAGTCATAAAGCTGAATCATCCCTCTTCACATTCACGAAAGTTCAACGGATGTGTCTGAGGCGGCTGCAACCAAAAGATTTCTTTTTCAGTCGAGCAATGCATTAAGCAGATGTTCCCTGCTCCGCCTTCAAAAGAACTGCCAGCTGTTACCTTAATGACACTGTTTTTGTTTTCCCTGAAAAATCCATTCAGACATGAGTGTGATCTGATGTGTTTCACTCGTCAATCAAACAATCTACTCCGCAACACCTGCTAGTTAATGCGCACTTTGTGCATCCTAAGTGGCTTCCAGACAGTGTGTGACACTAAAGAGAAAAAAATGATTTTCTGCCTTTGCTGATGATAATTAGTTTTTCTTCCAAATGGTGCACATTACCATATAAAATGGGAAAACATGCCTATGGAGCCCACATCTCCAAGAGATCCTGTTTTTAAACCAGACACAAAAAGATAAAAGAAAAAAAATTCTCTCATCTCTATAGGTTTGTAGATTTACAAACCTGAAATAAGGTACTTTGTTCATGTTTAGGCCCAACTAAAGTAGCCAGTATTCTTTGTGATAGACAAAAGCTAAATGTTTATTGCTAATTGAGGCCTGCGTGAGAGATGAATCATGTCATATCTGCTAAAGCTCTGCTTACAGTCAGCAGAAGACATCATTAAAAAAAACATCCCAGAGCCTTCTTCTTATGGAGCTGAATGCAAAATCAGACCATTCACAGTAGAGAGAGTGTTATTGGGTTTTTACAGTTCACATAAAATAAGTGTACAACCTCTGACTAATGCACTTTACAGCTAAGCTAAGTTTATTTATAATGTTTACATACAACAGCTAAGGGTCAAGATTGAAGACGGTTCAAATGATTTGAGAAGCTCCAACCACTTTCCCCACTGCAAGTCCATTTCAGAGTGGCAGGTGTGGCCAAGATGGGGCTTTCATCTCAAATTTGTAGTTGCACCTAAACATGTGCTGTTATTGGCTGGGTGCATGCCGGGGACTGCACTGCCCCCTCCACACACCTCTTCTCTGATGAGATGTCTTATCGTGTTATGTGGGGCCGGGCACATTCAAAGTGAAGATGAGAAATGCATGAACCTCCTGTACTACAATTGCACTACTGCCTCAACATCTAAGGGTCAATATGTTGTGAGCAATAAACCCAAATCGAATTGTATTTCTAATATTAGTTTAAAATGATTAAGTTTACCTAGCTTCTTTAACAACTCCAGAGAAAGAAAGTTGAGCTTTTGCAAGTAGTTGTTTTGTTTGTTAGCAAAACTCCACAAGTAAAGGTCAGGTTATAATGAACTTTCTCAGAGAAGGTCAATAAATGGCTGCATGATGAAATTACAGTTTTTAGTGTGGATCCAAACACTGTCTGGAGTCAATCCTAGAGTTAATGTATTATTTTCTAACCTTTGTGAATCAGTTTGAAATGGAAGAATGTATAATATATATAATCTGTACTGAAGTGAACTAAATGAAAAATGTATTAACCACTGAAAACCTTAATACAATACCTTACAAATGTATATCAGCTGATGTTAAAAATGTTCTTAGTATATACAGCATAACATATAGCAGTCAAGTACGTAGTGTTTAAAAGAGAGAGATGAAACTGCTAGTGGAGAACATATGGTAGTATTGCTGTAAAAAGCCCATGTACAGCTGTCCACACTACCGCCCCAATGGGAGACAGAGGGCCTTGTATGTACTTTCTTTACACTTGAATGATCTGAATGTCTATCAGTGGTCTCCCTATTGCTTCATCTCCCAGAGGGGGGCCATCATTACAGTACCGAGTGTATGAGAGTTCAAAGAGCAGCCTTTGGAGTATCCTTGTCTTTTTAATGGTCAATTTGAGCATGTAGCAGTTAAAAGAGAATCCCCTGTAGTTTTAACAGTGGTAATACAACTTAATATAGATTATATACACTAGTAGTGATGCAGAACATGACAGAGCATTTGAATAACACAAATCAACTTTTTACTGTGGGAGAAGTGTTCTAAACAGTATGGATAAATTCTGTCTAAAAAGATTACACAAAGCAGGGAAGATTATAATGGTAATTGTAAGGGTTTTTAGGGTATTTTGTATTAAACTATAATGAGATCATTATGTTAAAATGCTACTAATTGTAAGTGACAATATTGATCTAAAACAGCAAAAGCTCCACTGACTTCCTGTTCATAATTGCAGAATTGCCTCTTCATAGTGGCATTATATCATAGGTAGCAAGCAGCAATTTCTAATGTATGTGTTTTTATTGTTGAAAAATTGTTATGTTAAATTTGGAGTCAGAGGTACCAGGAAGAAAAGTGGGTGAAGAAGTTTTAATTGAATGTTTAAACAAGGCATTTCAGTATGCAGCTTTATTATATTAGACAAGTGAACCTACCATTTTAGTATGAGCACACACATACAAATGGTGAAGGCATGAGCTCTTTTCATACAGAGCATTATACATCCTTGACAATTTGACACTTTCCATGAAAATGAACCAGAAGCAAAAATGTTGTGAGCATCAGTTTCCACAGTCTGTCAATGAGTCTCTTGCGCAGAGGCAGAGCTATAATCACATCAATGCACTGAATGCCAAATAGAAGACATTTTCAAGTGACACTCATCAGTAAGTGAAACTTATTTGGAAAAGTAGGTACAGGAACACAAAATTATACTTTATTTAACTGTAAAGTGATATAAGCATGTCTGTTAGCCCCACAAATGTAATAACAATTCTCCATCACAAACATAATCAAATTTCCTACAAACATAATACCTATTACATTTGTGTTCAAGCATGTTGTCTGCTATAGAAACAAGTTTGAGAAACATCCAAGATGCTCTACTTGCTATTGGAACAAGTCTGAGGAACATCCAAAATCTTTTATCTAATGTGATGCATCCATTTTTCTGGGTCTCGGATGGCATCACAGCACTCTATAGGCCAATATTAATTAATACAAATGGGAGAGAGAGACAGGTTAAACAGTCATTTACAGAAACTGATCGATCGAGAATGCCCACGTAATGTGACACAAGCTCATCCAACAAACAGTAAAATGTCTGAAGTGAAACTGCCTTATCACCTGCAGAACTACTGCATTCTGGAGATACTCGGTGAAGGGGCTTTTGGACAGCACTGTCTCAAGCTCACAACATCAGAAACTGTTGCCATGTAAGTCCAGAAGTACTCTTTGCAGTGTGAGCTGACAATGCTCCACCATGTCTGGGAGCTGGACCCTGACAAGTGCCACATTGTAAGATTCATTGACACATTTGTATGGAATGATAGCACATATGGCATTTGAAATGTTGGATTGCAGCTTGGAGGACTTTTGGAATCAGCGTCAGAAGAGCCTGTATCTGAGGGAGATCAGAGTGATCACCCTACAGCTTCTAGTGGCCTTTGAGGCATTCAAGGAGTTGAATATTGTGGACACCTACCTGAAACTGGATAATGTAATTCTGGTCAGTCGCTGATTGATTTTGGACTGGCACACCTGAAGTCAGAGCTGCAGTTGGGATCCTCTCATCAGAACCTTTATTTCTGGGCTACAGAGGTCAGACTGGGACTGCCTCTGACCGAAGCCCTGGACATGTGGTCGCTAGGTGCCCTACTTGTATTCCTGTACCTGGGCCCCTTCCTCCCCCTACAACAACATGAGGACCATCAGTAGTGTGCTGAGAGCTCTTTTAGATGAGCTGCTAGACAGAGGAATATACACTGAGAGGTACTATTCCAAGATAGTGGAGAGGTGGACATTTAGAATACCAGAGGAGTACTACAGCCACACACTGGACTGTGCAGGTCCAATGGAAGGATTTGATCTGAACAAGGCTATTCAGACACATCCACCAGAAATTATGTTCCCTGAATTCAGGGACAGGATGGGGTTTCTGAACCTAGTGAGAAAACTCCTTCACATGGACTTCTCAAAGAGAATAACTCCAAGTGAAGCTCTACAACATGAGTTTATTACTCTGGAGTATTTTGAGGAAAAAAATCCTGACTCTGTAAAATGGGCCAGAGAACTTATAAGCCTGGTTCAGAGGAACACCTTCAGAGACTCCCAGAATCCCACCTCTGAAAGGGTCCCACAGGAGACTTAATCAATTAGGAGGTCCAGGAGATGACTCAAAGGCAATCCAGCTCACTGTACACAGGGTATATATCCAAGAAGTACAAGTGTATGGAGGTCAGTGAAGATGGTCAGATCTTCAATGAACCACAATCAATCGGCAAACAAATGACACAACCAGAGGAGGTCCAGGAGAGGCACCCCCCAGAGGAGATCTAGGAGGAGAACAGCTGGATAGAAATTGACAACCAAATGGAGTAAATATTTGCATCTTAGATCACACAAGACCCTGAGAGCTAGACAAAGGAGACGCCTTCCTCCAGTTGTATCTTGGAGGTTCTTGAAATTGACACTGGCAATGGGGAAGCACAGTCCAATCTCCCTGAGGGTCCTGAAGACCCACGAGCCAAGTGGAGGATGTGCCACCCCCTGGAACAGTCCCGAGGAAATGGTGAATGACATAGGACATAGGATTTTTCAAAGTTTGGCCAGCCAATGGATTTTTAAGGCAGATTTCCTTATTTTGATTAATTAAATTAATCATGATCATATAGTGCTACAAATATATTAATATTTTTTTTATATTTTTTATATTTAAATAAAATATACCAATAAAATCATCAACTTAAAATATCCTATTGCCTCATTTGCTTAATGAAAAATGCATGCAAATAAAACATTATTTATTTAAGAGTGCAAATGAACAAAGCCCTACATTGTTCCAACACACAACAAAAGTGTACTTAGCACAGAGGTTCACTTAAAAAAACAAAAAGGTAGCTGGTCAGTTTCAAATGCACATGAATAATAAATAAAGTAAAAAGGTCATCTTAGCTCCACAAATGTAATAATCCCCACAAACATAACAAAACTCAATTTTCCACAAACAT